AACTACTACATCATGACAACTAGTACTATCACTACTACTACTACTACAGTACCATTACTACTACTACCACCACCACCACCACAAGTACTACTCTCACCATTACTACTACTACCTACAACGGTTATATTATACCTTGCCCCTCACTTTAATACCTGTATATACCCTCTGTGTCCATGTATTGTTTGTAACGGCTTGACAAAGTTCCTGGAGAGCGAAACGTTGCCACAATAAAAATGTCGCATTAGTTGCACTTGTGTCCTCTAACCTAGCTTTCATTAAGTCAGGTTGGGAAAGGTGTAGATAGCAAGAAGAACCGGTTATAACCACACGGAACTAACCACAGCCTCCAGAACCGGTTCTAAAGCCTTATTTCTGAGCCTGACACAGAGTCATTGTGACACGTCAGGTTGAAAAGCGGCTGAGGGGATGGTAGAGATGGGGATAAAGAGGTGTGTAAGGCAGGGTAAATGAAGGAGAATGAACGAGGTAGGGAGAAGACACAGGAAAGAAATGTGTGGTGGAGGAAGAGGAGGGAGGGGTCTGGATAGTGGTTAGTGGAGGCTTGTGGTGGTTAGGAATAGTGATAGTTGTGATGGTGGGAAAACGAGGGAGGTGGTGGAAGGAGGAGGGAGGGGGTAATGGAGGGAGGGAGGGAGGGGAGGGGGTAATGGAAGGAGGGAGGCAGTTCACTGTGGACCGTTACTATGACGTCATGTCTCCCGAGGCCAGCTTTAAGTTCCTCAACTTATTTTACAAGTTATTCTGCCTCAGCTGATTTCAGACTTTGATCCTAGCAAGTGTTTTAGGAGGATTTTAAAAGTACTATAAATTGTATATCGGAACACACTCGCGAAATCGTAATGGCAGTGCCCCGTAGCCTGGTGGCTAAAGCTCTCGCTTCACACGGTGAGCGTCCGGGTTCGATTCCCAGTGAGGGTTGAAACATTGGCGTGTTTCTTTACACCGGTTGTCTATTCCCCATTAGTAAAATGGGTACTTGGGTGTGGGTCGCATCCTGGGACAAAACTGACCTAAATTTGCCCGAAATGCTCTACATAACAAGTGGCTTTCTATATAGTAGTATGTCATTGATGTTAGGTTAGGCCTGTATACCTTGTACATGTACTTGTAGAAATAAAGATATAACCACACCACGGGTGGGAATAGAACCCGCGGTCAGTCATAAAACTCCAGACCAACGCGTTAGTCACTGGGGACAGCTGGTTACGATAAGTCATCCAGCTAGGTAATTTATACACCATAGGAAGGTTAGCATAAGTCTGGAGTTTATGACTGACCGCGGGTTCTCTCCCCGCCCGTGGTATGGTTTTATATCGGATCTCTCTCCTCCCCCCCCCCCACACACACACACACACACACACACACACACACACACAACACACACACACACACACACACACACACACACACACAGGGTTCTACGAGCTAGGTTTAAGGTTCCTATCTTTATTACAAGCTAAGAGCTCTTCCTCCCTTCCTTCCCACTGTAAATCCCAGACAAGTATAAAAACCCCCCCCACCCCCCAAACAAACCAAAACCCCCACAACAAACATTTTTCAAAACCACCTGACCCTTTTTTCCCAAATAGGGGGC